TATTTTACTGCAGATTTTCTTTCAGAGATACTTAACAATAAACAGTCCTTTCACTTAGGCAAGAACTGAATACTGCAAACACGTGGAATCACCTGGCTCTTGAATGAAGACACCACAGGATTTTTCACTGCTCAGGTGTTACTGGATGCAATGCTGATTCAGGAACTGAAATTATCTTCTTTTCCTTGCCTGTGGAGTGGGATCATTGCTTTTGGCAACAACCCCGGCCTCCTGCAAATGATGAAGAGATCCCTCTGTGCCTATGTAGAAAGTGGGGCCAATATAGATGCCATTAGAAAGATTCAACTGAGCCTATGCTGAGAAAATTGTAGCATCCATGCCTTGCATGTAGAGGGAGGATTGTGAATATTAGATATGTTGTGGCCCATTCTACTGAATATGAATCATTGGGCTGTTCAAAATCTCACTGATATAGTATGTTTCTAACCCCCCCCCCACACACACACATTGTTCATCCACAAGCACTTGCTGCATGATTTTGGCTGAAAGTAATCACTTGACTCTTCACTTGCTTCTGTGGTTTGTATAAATACCCCCAATCCCAGTGTTGGAAGCTTGATCACAGTGCAACAATATAAAGATAGAACCCTTCCTTATACATGGATTAATGTCATCATTTCAGTGTTGTGTTAACTAATGAGGGGATGTTATAAATGCAAGTCAGTCACTTGTGCTTTCTCCTTTTCGTATGCTTGTTTGCTTTTCACATTCTTCCATGCTCCGACACAGCCCAAAGAACCTTACCAGATGTCAGTGCTACAGTGTTGGACTTTCCAGCCTCTAGAACCATGAGCTGAATCACCTGTTCTGTGGCATTCTGTTGCAGCAACACAAATATTACCAAGACATTTACTTTCAAAGATACTTTTAATAATTAATATTGAGATAAATCACGGGAGATGAACTCAAGTCTCATCCATGAGCATTTGCGAAATTAGTAAATTTGATAAACATTATATTAATTTTCTTCAGAATGACTTTAGGGTACACAAAGTTCCAATTTGTAAATAGTAAGAACCCAAAGGCTAAAGATGGGTAATGCAATAATTGCAATCTTCTGTAGATTCACTGGTACTATCCGCCTCTCTATTGCTTTTATGATATATAGGTATATATATTTTGTGTTCTTTGCTAAGCAGCATCAGTTCCACACTCATGACATTCTTTTGGTCCTGTGCATAGCTTTTGTACATACTACTACTCTTCTGTGTATTTTTAAAGATAACAGGAAAATTTTCTCCCATTTCCAGTTAAGCACTACATATCTAATATCCTGTCTACTGTGGTTTTACAACTTTAACACTATAACTACATAATTAAATTTTTTATTGCCACATATAAGCTGCCCCTCTCTCCTTCCACAAAACAGACTTATTCCAATGGGACAAGGTGCTGAGAAAGTAAGCACTCTCCCTCCATACTTAGAAATTATCATAAATAGACAAACTCCTGAAAATATCCATTTCTATTACCACTAGGCAGCATTCCAAGCAAGGGATGTTGATCCTGGGTTTCTGTTCCATTGATAAAGGGGATATGCCATTTTATTCCAGCCCAGAGCTGTCCAACGTGCTCTTGTAAGGCAGTTTCCATGTTGAGTGAATAAAGATCATTGTTTCCTTTATAATGAGCCTCCCCTCCTTTGGCTGTCTGTGAAAGGCTGCCACCGCACTGGCTAAGAAATGGCCCTGTTGTTTGTCCTGTTCAGCCGCCAAGTGTCTGCCAAGCACAGTGCGGTAACGGGAATGATTTTCTTAGCCATCATTACATGACTGGCACGTGAATAATTTTGCCCACCAGGTCATCATGTCACATCAGCCACGGAAACTCAGCTCAATCACATGTAAAAACTCTATTGCTCCCACAGAACAATAACTTCTACAAGGGAAACAAAGAAAATATTTCTACTCCCCTCAGTCCCTGTATCTTGATGATGCTGGCTTCAGAATCCTAGTTAAGGAAAGCCAATAAAATGCATCACATAAGTTTATATTATAAATTAGAATATAGATGTTCTCAAGTGGTGCATGCACTTTATACCTGTTTCTGCCTGGCATGGTCAAACTAAGGAGCTAGACATGAATACTAGATCCACTTCACTAGTATTTATTGCTCCAAATCCAATCTATATTAGTAAGTCAACCCTGTATCAAAGAAGAAGACAGCAGTATTTATGATTATTAGTACAATATTGAGTCATCCTGAACCAATTACTGATCCAATTACTGTGTCATTATTATCTTGTGAATAGGGCTTGATTTATCTGTGATAAATATGATGCAATTAAACCACCTTTTTACATAATAAAACACTGCAGGTGTTTATTCTTAAGAGTTCATAGATACCAACAACCAATACATTTAATTAAAAAATTCTTGATATAAGTGTAGATTTCATTACATTCTTCTTAATTTAATGTATATTTAAAGTACATTTTATTGATACATAAGATTGTATAATCTTCTGTCCAGCTATTATTTAAAACTATACTAATAAACCAAACAAAAATTAGCATGGTTGTTTAATATTCTGATGAAAAATGTCATTGCTTTAAGACATATAAGCATAAACTAAATTAAGAATAAAGTTTTGAAAGTATATATATTACAAAAAGTTTGGTAACTGCAGAAATTGCATGTATGCAAACTTTAAAACAAATTTTGTCATTAAATATTTAAATATACTGTTATTTAAAACACCACGTTGTAAGAAATGTGAGCATTATTAACTATATAATCATCATCAAAAGCAAAATAATGAAATACAGAACAAATTTAAAGTTAGCATATTTATAGTATCAAAGATAACCCAAGAAATTGCTTCATTTCTTGATATGTCTTCTCTTCACATTCTTTACCTCCAAATTTAAAATCCACATCACAGTTAGAAGACTAGAAAGAAAAAAATGATCAATACCAGGATTATAATTTTTAAATTTTTATAAAAATATCTTTAATTGGGCTGGGGATTTAGCTCAGTGGTTCTGGTGCCTGCCTTGTAACCACAAGGTCCCGAGTTCAATCCCCAGTACCAAAAACCAAAAAACAAAACCCAAAAAAAATTTTTTTAAATTACAACAATCTACTCAATCATTATTATATTTCAAAGCACTGAATTCAAGTTAAGTTGCAGGTGTTTTTTGTAGTAATAATATTGACTAGTCAACTTACTAAGACTTTAATTTAAATTAAACAAGTAATTTTATGATCTTATTTTTAAAAATTCAATTAAAAAAATACATTCCAATTCAAAGCTACCCTGATATGTTCAAATTATTATCAAATGGGCCTGATATACTATTTCTATTCTAGGTTTTTATTGATACCTTTTGAGGAAAGTAAACAATATAAATTGTAGTCTATTGATAAGACTATTAGTAGTTTTAAAAATTCCAGCAATAAAACAGTAATCACCACCACTTTTCATAAGATTTTTATAGGTATGGTTATAGAACATGAATCAGCATTTATTGTCTGTATTATTACAATTATCCAAAGATTTAAAAGTGGATGATAACATACAGCTTTCATCATACACCGTGATGTTGGTCTCTCTAGGTAATTAAAAAATTGTTTTTCTTTAAGGCTGTAAATGGAAAAATTACACTTTTCATTTGTTCTCTCTCTCTCTCTCCCTCCCTCCCTCCCTCCCTCCATCTCTCTTCTTTTTAAAGAATAGTTTGAAATAGGAGGGAAAGAGAGGGAAAAAGTTTTGTTTTTACTGTTGGTATTTCAATAATTGCAGATGTGCTCTTGTAGAAATCAATTGATAATTCTGAACACCTACCATCAATATCCAATTTTCTCAATATTTTTAAAAGACAAGAATAAACTCCAATAAATTTCAAGCAGATTAACAAAAATGCACTGTTTTTTCTTCCACATTGTGTATAGCAGGGGTGGGGCAAAGAGTCTGTTAGATTTGGCATAAAGATTAAAATAAATATTTTTTTGTTGCCACAGAGTAAAATTTACTCCTGTAACCACAGAAATTCACAGAAATTAAGAGCTTGTAAAAAATTAAATATGGCTACTAGATTTCAGACAATATTTAATTTAAATTAAGTTAAAATAATAGCAATAACACTAAGAATAAAATAATGAACTACAATTAATTGTATTTACCATAAGTGATTTAGATTTGAAACACCTACTCTCTGCACTGATAAAATAAAACCTGCATCCTGCAGAAGCTAAAGTAAGTTAAATGAAGATGCTTTTAACAAAGTTATTACTTAAGCAATGACAGGTTTACAGATTTTAGCACCACTGGGTTTTCACAGGAGCTACAGCAAGTGCTAAAATAACACACACCTTCAGGTTCATTAAATTCACCAGTGTGATGGAATAACTGATATTTTGCTATATTACTATAGTGCTTCCAAGAACCATCTATAAATAAGATACTCTAATAACAAGTGTTTGTGCTGGTAAAACAATGAAATAATTCTTCTGAGGTTTATCTGCAAGGGAAAAATTATTTTTAAGGAATACTGTTAGCATAGTTATGTCTGGTAATTTGAATTCCTTTGGAGGCACATATGTATTTATTTACCTAAAATAGGTATTTTCTGTAAAAGGTTTTACCATGAGGCTGCACTCAGAAGGAAACTTGTAAAAAGGTGATATATATTAAGTGGAAATAAACTGAATCTTGCCCCCAAATATTTACTTTATTATCTGATGTTTACTAGGATATTTATGGAGGCTGTTTTATTTAAAGAACTTATAAAATTCCAATAACCGCCAGAAACAGCAGCATCTCTGATAAATCCTTTACTGTGGTCAGCTGTGAGATGAGCCAAAAGCATAAATAGTGGGTTTCTATAAATCAATGGGATCTGGCCTTTGGAGGCCTAGAAGACATATGGACCGTAATAGAGTATCTCAGGTTGTCTCATGAGTGATTCCATCTGGATGGAGTCTTGGTGTTATTCACAGCCTACTTCTCCCCTAAAACACCTTCAATCTTATCCACAGCCTCCATCTCAAATGTCAGACCACCTGGGATATGCAGCTGTCATGCTGAAAGGGGAGCTGCCTGGGACCGGCCCTGGCCTGCTCATCAAAAAGATACTGTCACTACCCAGCAAGCATTGCTAGGTGCACAGGGTGACGGCAAGAGAGATGCACCTGGCTCTGGATTTGAGGGATGAAGAAAAAATAAAGAACGTAGATGGAACTATGTATATCATCAAAACAGACTTGCCTCTGCTGTGTTATTCTCTCCATCAACATATTTACATCTTCCCTGTCAATACTTGTGCAGAGATCAATATATCCTGATTATGAATAAATAAAAATGTGTAATATTCCTTGTGCAAATAAATTCTGTATCTTTCATATCATTACCACTTTTTGATATATGTTCTTTTACATTGGTGCTACATTTTCTATTATTAAACAAATTTAGTTTGAGTAGTACCTGCCCTGTAAGAGAAAATTTCTTCATCATAATCAGGCTTGTTAGTTTCTTTCCTCTTCTCTTCTGCTTACTTACTTATCTTCCTCAATGTATGTGCATGTTTGTGGCTCTGGTCGTTTGGGAAATAGTAAGATCCTATTATGGATAGTCATTTTACTGTGAGAAGTAAATAACAATAATTGAAATCACCTACTATTTAGTGTTTCCTTGCAAATTCCTATTGCAAGTTAAATAAATTACACTCTTTCTCCTTAGAGATTGGGTTATGATTCTGTGATTTTGAAGGTTTTTCCCTGGAGTATTGAAGTTCTCTTAATGTCACTGAAAATAATCTAGGTCAATTACAACCACAGTGATTTCTACATGACAGCAGACACCTTCCCTAGCTTATTTGCCTGTATGTATTTTTCCTTCAATCAATGGTTCTTGGTACTGTAAAATATTGATGAAATGATTGATTACATTTATATTTTTCTATTTTCCTGTGTAGAAGAAGTTGTCTTCATGGATAATCAAAATCCAATGTGAACCTTTATTTGTCTTAAAATTTCCCTTCCCTAAAATTCTTGTCCATGCACCCTTGGTACATTCTTTTTACTCCATATATAGTTTCTTTTCTAATATAATGATCTGCTTAATTATTGTTTTCACCCTTCCTGTCTAAAATTTAAATTTCTTGACCCAACAGACTTAAAGATAAGCTCTGATAGTTAAATAAGTTATTAGTGGTTGGTCATCTGGTTTTTAGGACAATGAATTATAATTTTTTTCAGTGAAGGTAAAAGATCATAATGGTTACAAGCACAGATGTTGAAGACTGATAGGGAGAGGTTCAAGTACAAGTGTATAAAGCACACAGAGCCACACATAACATCTAGCCCAGTGCAGCCATGGAAATGGTCTACAACCTTGACTTTTTCTGTGCATCAAATATCATCATCCCTACTTAAAAGAAAAAAAAGCCACAGAAAAGTTAAGTAATTTAATGAATGTCATCTTAGCTGTGAGATAGGGTTTGAATCAAGATTAATCTCATTCAAATGTCTTTATATTTTCTCTCTCAGTTGCTCAGAATCCAGCCTTGAGGCCTGCTTTTGTTACTTCACATTCCTTCTACGATTGATCAAGAAGGTCGACAGTATACACTTCAAAACAGGTTCAGAATCTGACTGCTTTTCTCCCCCTCCACTTTTGCAAGTCTGGTCTCAGCCTCCATCACTTTTTGCCTGGAATTTTCTATTGGCCTGTTAGCCGTTCATTCTACTTCAATTCTTGCCCCCCAAAGTCTTCTCTCAACATAGAGCCCAAGTAATCTTTGATAAGAACTATTGCGCATTTTTTCTGCTGAAAAATTCATACAGAATCACAGTTTCTCTATGAACAAGTACCTTCCAATGGCCAAACAAATCTTACATCAAAAGTCAACAAACTATGTCCTGCATGCTAAATTAGCCCTCTACTACTTCTTAATAGTTTATGAGCTAAGAGGTCATTACATTTTTAAATTATAAAAAGTAATTTATAAATGTAGGCTTGTGAAAATTATGTAGAGTTTAACTTTCAGGGTCCATAAATAAAGCTAATGGGATATAGCTGTTCACATATATTTATACATTAGCTATGGCTACTTTTACACTCTCCAGGCAAAATTGAGTAGTTCTAGCAGGGAATTTGTGGGTTACAAAGCCTTAAGTACTTAATATTGTGTTCTTTACAGAAAAGTGTGCTGAATTTTGACCCAAAATATTTGGTCTCTCTTACTTCTATGTCCTCACTCTGCTGTGGCTGCCCTGGCATTCCTGCTCCTCCTTCGGGCATTTGCAAAAGTTGGTTTTCTCCCCAGAGGACCCTCTTCCCAGATTTCTTCTTTGCTAATTATTTTGACCTTTTTCAAATGTCACCTGTTGAATAAGGTCACATATAAGGAGCATCCTATTTAATTCCATAAAATACAACTTACATTTTGTAGTCTCATTCCCATTTAACTCCTTCTTTTCTTCCTTTTGTTTTCAAAGCTCGCATAACCTAACAGATCACATAATTTGTTTAATTATTGTTTATTTTAAAATTTTCTATGGTATAGTTAATGGTGGTTGTCAACTTGATTGTCTTGAAGTTATTCATCGATTAGTAAAGAACACTTCTGGGTATGTCTTGGTGGGTCATGGGGGTGCAGGCCTGGGGACAATATTTGATCCCTGGCCCCTTTCTGTCTCTTTTCATCTGTGCTCTGCTTCCAAGCCACCATAAAATGAATAGTTTTATTCCACCACACTCATCAGCCTTGATGTTCCTACCTTGATGTCAACAGACCATGAACCCAACCTCTGAAACCATGAGCCAAATAAACCATTTCCTTCTTAAATAAGTTGTGTATGTCAGGTGTTTGGTCCCAGTGGGAAAGCTGACCAATGCATTTTATCTTTTGTAGCTGTGAAGCAGATTCACTCTGTACTGTTTACTACTTCAGCCCAATACATCTTGAGCTGAAACTTCTAAAACTGGCATGAATCCTGTGAGATAGAACATGCACACATGTTGAGGAGAGGAACTATTACTCATGGACTGGTAACAAAAGGTAATAGAGGCCTAGAATTCATGAAAAGCTGGTCTTTTAAGTCTTGTGAAAGCTTTACAGGGTAAATGGAATATTGCCTGCTTGTTTCCAACACCATAGTGCAGCTGAGTGACCCCAAAAGCATCACTCATTTTATACCTCTGGGGAAATAGGCTATATTGGGCTAAAACATTGAAGGACACGAAGGACCAGAACACAACCTCTGCAAATTGGAACAGAAACAAGCTGCCTTTACCTCGGGATACTATATCAGCACATTCGATATAGTAATTCTGGAGAACTACAGATAAGAAAAGGAGAATTGCATTTGCCCAAGGCATTCAGATATCTGTTTCAAATCTGCTAGAATATAAACAGCACAATGGTAAAGATTTTTGTCTGCTTAGTTCAGTGATATGTTAGTCATCTTTTCACTGCTGTGACCAAATACCTGGGGCAAAACAACATAAAGGAGGAAAGGCTTACTTTGGCTCCTGGTTTCAGTCACGATTGGTAGGCTCCATTACTTTTAGGCCTGTAGTAAGACAGAAACCTGGCAGAAGAAGGAAAGCTGCTCACCACATGGCAGCTCAGAAGTGGGAAAAAAGGGAAATTGTCATAGAGGAAGGACCTAGGGAGAGATAAGTGCCCAACGCCATCTTCCTGTGATACAATCCCTTCAATTACTTCCTACCTTCTGTTTCCATGACCCTCCAATAATGCCATCAAGTTATGATCTCAATGAATTCATCCGCAGAAGAAGTTGGTGTTCCTCAAGATCCAATGAACTTCCAAAAGTTATGTTCCCTTCAAAACTTATGTTCCATCCAAAAAAATCTAAAACTTAAGTTCCAAAAATCCAAAGTCCAAAACTTATCCAAAAAAATCTAAAATCCAAAACTTACGTTCCATTCAAAACTTATGTTCCACTGGGCTGGGGATTTAGCTCAGCAGTTTCGCCGCCTGCTGTGTAAGCACAAGAACTGGAGTTCGATCCCTGGTACTATAAAAAAAAACCCCCAAAACAACAAAAAACAAACTTATGTTCCATCCAAAACTTATGTTCCATCTTGGAACATAAGTTTTGAGGGGACATTTTGGATTTAAACCACAACAAGTGATATATTCCAAATCCAATCTATTTCCCTTGAACACAATTGCACTCAATAAATATTTGTTCACTGTTGAATGTATTAATATATTGATATAAGTAAAAAAGATATATAAATATTTAAATTCTGGCACCTGACTAGAGCTGTTGTTTTGAAATAACATTTTCTCGAGTTCATTATACACAAAATATACAGTTACTGAGTAAACTGATTATGGTATTATTAAGCACCACCCTCACTTTTCCAAGACGAAATCTGTTGGTATTCAATACAAACAGTGGGAAAATTAGAATTTTTAAATATGTGAATATGCCTAATAATGAATAATTAGTTTGGGGCTATATATAATTAATGTATTTATGGGGGGATAGAGTTTTTTGAAATGCTTAAATAACAAAATATTTTCTTATGAGGCTATTGAAAACTAATTATGTACTTATAGAATTTTGACAGTATTATAGATACCTGGAATAAAAAAAAATTGATGAATACTGGCTAAATAATATATGACTGATAATAAATGAAACTTTTAAAAGCACACTGGGTAATAAAAATGTTTTGCAGAATAACACCTTTCCTTTATTGACACCAGAGACTAAGATTTTAACCTAATGTTGGCTTAATTGATTTAAAAAAAATGTAGTGCAATGTAAAATAAATTTAAATAAAAATCTCTATTTTTGTATAAATTTAATTCAATTGTCTAAAATCTGTTAAATATAGCCATGTGTGGTTCAATATAAATATTCACATGCACCTATATTAAAAATGAGTGATAACTGTATAGAAATATGTTTCATAAAGTAACTTGAATAAACACTTTGAGGAGTCATAGGACAGAAAACAATTCTACTCATGTAATTATTTTCTAAAATTTAAAAACCAAAACAATATAGGCATAATAAATTACTAAATGAAAATTTTACCTTAACGTATTTCTACTCATATGTAGTAGAATAAGATTTTGTATTTATACCGATAATTCAGAATTTAAAATCTGCAAATATCACTTAAATCACTTCATTAAACATTATTTTTACCACCTTAGTAAATTTTAGTTTATTCTTTTCATTTGAAAGTTAGCTCTGTATGTGGGAATAAGTAAAATGTTTCAGACAGGATCTCTTCTAATGTGAATAACAAAGGATATGTCATGTTGCATTTATCCTGTAAAATATTTACCACTTATTTATGGGTTGATAATAATTCAATCTTATTGCTA